CTAATATGGATGTAGGTGACATTAATCCCAAGCAAGCTAAGCTAATAAGCTCCACATCACCTTGACCTAGTAGAATATAAGAAGTACAACATATGTATTTGAGATGCTTTCAAAAGCTTTTGGTAACTTAAAAGGAAATCATATTGTTGGAGAAAATAAAGCCATGTTTTAAAACGATGCATGATGCAAGATCAAATTATGTATTAGTATTACTCACCTCCTGGTTCCATCAGTGTTGCCTTCATCCTTGCATTTTTCCTGGTCACTTTGAGTCTCTTGGTTCCCCAAAAATAGTAATTGTAGGATGGTTGAGGTTGACCTCGCAGCAGCTGCAGCCTTGCTCTCCGAAGGTGCACAACCATCTGTGCCAAGCACCGCGATTACTTGTTTCAGACAAGTGAGATGCTCAATGCCTATGTAGAAGCCATAGGTAGTTGCCACTGACACAAGGCATGGAATACCAAGCTTCTTAAGCTTGGGCATAGCGCCTTTCATGAACGTTAAGTATGCCTCGGCTTCACCACTGATGTTGAACTCCTTCAGACTTGGGAATCCAATGTCTTGGACTATAATTAGCCTATCTTTTGGTCCTATCTTTAACCACAGTTCTAGGCAAAGTAAGGATGGGATCTCCCCAACAACGAGTAGACCCTTCTCCGTTAATTTAGTTAAATTAATGTCCAGGTAAGTAAGGTTGTTGAGTGTTGGTGCAATCCACTTTGGAACATTCACGAAATAGCAATCGCCAGACATATAAAATAGTTGAAGGGAAAATGGCAATGGAGACCAAGAATCCAAGAACTCAAGGGAACCACCATACATAGTTATTCGTAAAGACATGAGTTTATAGTTGCTAAGCTTGCATAGTGAGCAAAGTAACATTTGTTCATGCCTTTTGTACTCCTCGGGTCCTCCACGATCTAAATATATGTCAAGTTCAGACAAACTTGTTAGGTTCCCGAGATCCTCCACTACAGCTACTGGGCTACGGGTAATATTGAAGCCTGAAATGACTCGCAAGTTCCTCATTACTCCAATTCCATTTGGTAACTTAGTTCCCACTGCAACAAGTAGGTGTTGTAGTTTAATGAGCTGCACTATTCCACATGGCAACTCTTGCACACATGTATCCCTAAGATCTAGGGTCTCTAGCCCACCTAACATTACAATCCCTGATGGTAGCTTTGATATGACCGTGCACCTATAGCTGAGGTATTTTAGGTTGAACAATTTGTCCATATTGCGCATATCATAATCGTCAAAACCCTCACAATCCTTAAAATCTAGTACACGCAAAGCTTCAAATTTAACAAGGCAAGGCAAGTGTTTGATGCAATTTGATGACGTTGCAGTTAGTGATCGAACATGGCTTAAATCTAAACATGCCAACACATTTGCAAGCTTCCGGTCAATGTATTGGATGGATAGTAGTCGAATAAAACCATGATGGTTTGGCAAGCACGTTTGTCCTCCTTCTCCATCGACAACAATAATGAAATTATCTTGAGACGATTTTGAAATGATAATATCAAGCATCATGTCATGGACTCGGCGGGTACTAGCTTTGCCATCATAATCAATGTACACTGGTTGAACCAAGCTTTTATTAATAAGCTTGTAGAAGTAGTTCTCAGCGACCTCTTGCCGACATTGCCCATGCTCTTCAGAGATAAAGCCTTCTGCTATCCATCGCCTCACTAGTGTGTCCCTATCAATCACATAATCCTCGGGGAAGACACTTAAATACAACAAACATGTCTTGAGATTAGATGAAAGATCATTATAACTAAGCCATGGTATGTTATTCATTCCTCTTGGATCTTGTTATTTTCCAAAGTAGAGCCAATTGACCTATTAACCTTCTCCCACTCTACCTTGACAACTGGTTTGTTTGCTAGTAAACTAGAGATAGTAATAATTGCAATGGTAGACCTCCACATTTTTTGAGGATTTTATCTGAAACCTCCTTCAAACATGTTTGGGCAGCAGTTCTCAGAGCCAAAAATGCTTTTGTCGAACAATGTTTTGGAGTGCATATCACTTAGGGCTTCCATGCCATACACATGGTCATAATACCTTGGACAACACGACCTTGCTACATATCTAATGAGTGTAGTAGCTATAGTTCTGCTAGAACGGTTATTCTCTAGGAAAGCACACCTGATATTGCTCCATGCTTGTGTACACCATATATCATCAATTATGATAAGATACCTAACATATAGTAATAAATATCATACACCACCCAATTATGATAAGAAATTGAACTAAAAGGTGCAGATCATGCATGCCATAAATAGACCATTTTTTGCAGGAACATTGTGTGTGCTTCATGTACTCAACTAGCAATTAAATCAAGTTTATTATGCTTATTGTTTATGTGTATCATGCTCATTACTTAAGTTTACGTATGGAGTTTATTCTACTTGTGTAGTATGTCCACTTCATTGAATTTTGTACCTAAAGGAGACTCAACTCTAGTTACCTAACCAAAAGAAAAATCTATTTTCACTGTTTATAATTTGGCAACACTATGTCACAATACATCTTTGAGTATCTATGAAACTAGAATAGAAGATATAGTGAATGGGCCATGCAGCTCCAACGTTGTCTGTTGAAATAATCACAAATGGATTTATTGATTGCATAAGAGATATGGAAGAAACCAATGGAAGTTATATATGAACCTCCAACGTTGTAAATGCTTCATAAACTCTTAAGTTAGTTTAGTGTACCACGAATATTTGTTATGTTATCATATCTAGTTTATTGTAAATATGTATCATGACCACACTGTAGATAATATATGAAGAAATGCTAAAGAAATATGCATGAGTCATGTTTTGTAGGAAAACAATGAGTTGAATTAACTCTTATCTTGTAGTAGCTCTCTCAGCTTTGCAATAGATGTAATTTCATCCCAAATGTCGCTACCGTTTGTGAACCCATCTGGGTGAGGCAATCTGTAGACCAGATCATTGATAATTTTCCTTATGTTTGGCTTCTATGAAATTGATACAGAAGCCCGACAATCAAAACGCCCTTGAACCTTGCGATAAACCTCATTGGCTAATATTGTCTTTCCTAATCCACCAAACCCAACAATAGACAAAATCCTACTAGTACTATATGACTGTTTCGTTCACTATCCACTTGGCAAGATCATCTCTTGGACCATCAATGCCCACAAGATTTGTCTCCTCGACAAAAAGAGCACATAGTCGTGGATCGACGACTATATGGCTAGACATGCTACAAGTAGTAGCATCTAGATTGTAACTATTCTTGAGCTCTTTCACTTGCCTGATCCGAGTCTTGAGTTCATTGATTTGGTTGGCGATTCCACATCGTGCTCCAAGGGCCTTTAGTTGGCGAGTGGTAACGCGGAAGAAGTCCTTGAAGCCGGTGTGAAGCCCACCATTTCCGATTCGGTAAATGAAAATATCTATGCAATCCTCTATATCGTATGCCAACTCTCTCACCATGGAGATCCATTGCTTGACCTAGATGTCTGGATCTTCTAGTATAGCATACTTCCAGACCGCAACTTCCATACTGGCTAGCTCACATCCGAGTGACATGATCTCACGTCGAACGCCTTTGAGGCGGCCATACTCACCAGCAAGGGGCCCAACACGCCTAGTGTATTTTCCCATATGTGTGCCTACTTATCATATTATTTTAGGTACAGATGATGCCGATACACTAGGAGTGGCTTCATTCACAGGGGTCAAGGCAACACCAATTTTTTTCTCAAATACGCACGAGTGTGCGTATCATAGTATAAAGAAGGATCGGGGAAGGCACCCGTCCACAGAGTTCGTTACATTACATGTACATGACAAATCCACCTCCACCCTACCTATCTTCCTAACTAACTCCTCGCATCTGCCCACCTAGACAGCGCACTAAGGAAGGGCTCGAGATCACCCTTCAGTAGCCCTGCCGCTCTCCACGCCCTACCTTCTCTCTCAATGATTGTAGCTGATCGAGGGATTGAGGGTGCAGCACCAAATTTTTAAAAAGAGATAATAAGAGAAGACCATGCATACCTCTATTGAATGACAAGAGAAGATCATTCAGATGGGATAGGAAGAGGTTGGAGAAAAGAGAGGGGTAACTAGAGTGGCGAGTTTAGCAATTTTTGAATCGTTTCTCCTTTTAGTGTCTTTAAGAGAGAAGATTATCTTTTTCAAACCGTTTCCCCTTTGATAATTGTTGTGTGGCATTAAATTAAAGTGTGTATCATCCATTACACAGAAATTTACCTAGGAAAGTTAATGTATCACACATTCAACTTTGCCCCTTTTCTGTTGTTACTGTCATCACACCACCATGGATGCCATCTCTTAGTTTGTCCGGCGTCACATAGCTTATGGATCTTCTGTCAGTATTGTCGTCTTGATATGTCTACCTCAATCTATTGCCTCCGCCTAACGATTTATTTTCAAGTGAACTAAAATGAAACTGAACTTATTCCCGGTCTCTGCGTCCCAATATGCACACAACAGTCCAGAATCCGAAAACTCTTAAGTCATCATTAAATCAGTGTAATGCCGTCACCACCGGTGAAAATCAGTATAGGTATAGGAGTTTGATGTTCATCAACGAGGAGGTTGACCAATAATTTGTAACATATGATGTGATTGAGAATTAGCATAAGTTTATTTTCATCAAATATGGACTATCTGTATGTATTGCAATTTAATTCTATTTTGCAGCGTTTTCATTTCTTTTAATTTAAATCTTGTTGGGTGGTCACTGGCAGTGTTGTGTTAAAGCACTGCCTATGTGTTCAGTTCAAGTCCTATCTTTCAGGTCGCCGTACGTGGAAGATTATACTCACACAAATCCCCTTCAGTTTCACCACAAAAATTGTGGAAAGAAAGATCAAACCCAACCAAAAAAACAAAAACAAAAATCGAAATTACAAGAACGGAAGGTAAGAAGAGCCCAAAGATTTCTTGGAGACTCTTCTCCAATCCCCCCCTTTCCCCTCCATGGCCACGCTCCGGCACGCTCTCCTCACTCCGTCCCCGCTCTGCTGCTGCTCGCACGCTCTCCTCCACCCAAGGGCCAGGAAGATATCTCCGAGGTTTCCACATGGGGCCTTCTCCACGGCGAAGCCGTTCTTGCGGCGCGAGCTCTCGGAGAGGGGCGGGGCCTTGGCGCGGAGAATGGCGGGCGGGCGGCGCCTTGGCGTGGCCGGGGCCGGGAAAGGCCCCTTCTTTGGCGGCGGGCGGCGGCAGGGGTCGACCGGCCGCGGCCGGGTCGTGGGGAACCTCGCCTTCGTCGCCCTCGTGGCCTACCTCGTGGTGAGCGGCCAGTTCCGGTGGCTGCTCGACGCCATCGTCTCCCTCTGGGTACGAGGCTCCTTCTCCTGAAATGTTTTAACTTGTAAAATGGATACTACCAGTTTACGACTAGTTTGCTGTCTCGATGACTAGCTTGGTTGATATCGGAATAGAGAAACTGGATAAGGTTCAGAAAACATATGGTTCTGGTAGAATAGACAGCTTAATCTCTGAAATCGACCCACCTTCCCTGTATTTCAATATGATTTTGTAATTTGTGCCAAAAACTAGCTTCCCCCAGTTTTCCAGACAGTTTGCATTTTTTTCACCTAGTACTGTTACTTGGTATAAGCTGTATTACCATTGGTTGCTAGTCTGTCAACTGAATGCTACCTTATATGTTGCCGCAGCAAATTGAGCATTCTGATTCCACAGTAACCTGTAAACTGGAAACCATCAACTTTGATTTAGTTCGCTCTGCGGTGCTAATAGGCAGCAGCATGGATAAGCTTATGCAACTAAGAGTTTGGATTTAGAATATTAGCATAAAGGGATATCTTATCTTGTCTTTGGTAACTTAACTTTAGCTTTGTACGTCTCTCTTTGATAACAGCTCCTCACGGTACTTCTGCCTATTGTGGGTCTCGGTGCGCTCATATTCTTTGCACAACGAAATATACTTCAGAGCGATGTAAGTCTGCACATAAATTTGGTGTTTGGTCAGTTTATACTCCCTCCGTTCCTAAATATAAGTCTTTTTAGAGATTTCAATAAGGACTGCATACGGATGTATATAGACATATTTTAGAGTGTAGATCCAGTGATTTTGCTCTGTATGTAGTCCACATTGGAATCTCTACAAAGACTTATATTTAGGAACAGAGGGAGTACTTTCGAATAAGTATGGTTTCCACGGATTTCCTACTACTGTACTTTTAGTTTCTTAAATATAGATGATGAGGGTAAATGTCTGTTAGTTTTAGTACCGTTATTTGTTGTTATTCCTAAATAACAATGGCAAAGACTGTTGTTTGTTTGCACAAGTTTAACATTGTCAAACATGTTTCTTTTGTTGCAGTGTCCCAACTGTGGAAAAAGCTTCCGGATACTGAAGTAAGCATAAGAAAATTTATGTTAAGCTTGCATAATTTTGTAACTTAAGTTAACTTTGATTAGTTTGCTTGTCTAATAGGACATCTGTGAAGAATGGTCCACAATTCTGTCCTTATTGCACTCAACCTTTTTCTGGTAAGCAGAACTTGTGTTTCCCATATCCAGTTTGCTAACAGGATAAAGGTCTCAGAAGAACTACGTCCTAGCTGCTTGGTCTTGTCATACTAGAAAATCTGCTACTGGAAATTTAGCCGGTGGACCATAGCTATGCAATCTTTAATGACACTGTTATTTTCAGACCTTCAGTTAGATACGTGAGCCCCACTGTCCAGCTAGAATACAACCAAATTATATTTTGCTTAGTCTTTAAAACATCTGTGCACTTAATTCCATGTTACATTTTCTGCCCTTTAAGCATTTGCATGGTCCCGATTGTTCTGTGCTGGGAGCCTGGGAATAGATACAGAGTTAAGCTTGTGTTGAGTGGTTTTAGAACATGCATGTCTGATGATACATCTGGTATCACCGTATCAGAACAGAGTTGTCTTGATTTTAAGGTCAAAAACTTCTCAAGCTCTACATGGGTATGGCACATTCGCGACTGAAAAGAAAATCATGAGCATTGGTGATGGTATCAGCCAAATGGAAGTGGAGAATCATGGAGTTTATCCATGGCTTGAATGTCCCACGAAACATAGTTATCTTTACTCCTTTTTTATTTTTTTTCTCTCCGTTGTTTAGCATTTCTCATGTGCTTGTCTAGATGAGACTATTGTTGGAGCTAAATCATCATTGTACATGCTGCAGTTCAGGGCGATAAGTTTGTCAGAGAAGCTGCTAGCTTTTCCTCTGGAAGGACCCCTACAAATGCACAACAAGCCTTCAATGAGTTATTCAACCGTGGATCAAATGGTATTAGCAAGCTACAGTCTTTCTACTGCCTGTATTTCATTTGCCCATTTAATATTTATCCATATGAATTAAACTAAACGAGGTGATCCCTTATATCATACACAATAATTTCTAGATGAGGTTGGGTGAACAATGAAAGATCAGATATTCATGTCAAATACTTTTTACAACATGTCACGGGTTAAAGAATGATTGCTAAGGCTGATAAAGATCATACATCATCAGCGAATGAAGTCGGGCTGTATCATTCTGCATATGATGGGATGCACTCAGCATAGGTCATGTAGATGATTTGGCTTTCAGCTGTTATTGAAATTAGACGTCCGAGTCTTTTCAAGCAAATTGTTCCTTCACCACACCTTTTGATTGAGATCGAGGTTTTTCTTGGGAGTTGGTGCATGTTAATTAATGATCACAATGTTCCCTGATGTATGCAGGAAAAGCACCTTCTGGTTCTGGGACGATTGTAGATGTTGAGGCTGAAGTCACGGACATCGAGTGATATTTCTTCAGGAGCGCATCAGGGTCAGTTTTGCTGCTGTTCGTTGGGGGCCAGTTTTTATCTCCAATGTTGTACTGTATAAGCCTGTAGCACTCTAGGAAATAGGTTTGCAGCCTAGTTCCAAGCGACTTCCGAAGCTTAGAGGTGAGACCAATTGGCAGATACAGATCGAAGGCAGATGTAACAGATTAACAGGGTTGTGAATATTTACATTGCTTCTTTTGTATATTCCCAGGCTTGCAAATACACCCAGGGTTTTGTATATGTAACATATGTTGCAAACTAGGGTGACATTGACGCCTTTGAACATGTTGTACATGATGCTCGGTTACTGAACTAGGGCTTGTTCATCCAGACCTACTTTCTTTTACTTGCGTCGACTGTGTGTAGGTGCTCCAATTCCTGCATTTCCATTGCTCGCTTGGGGAGGAATTACTGGTGTGACTACCTCTGTTTTTTGACTGTTCACTGTCATGTTTTGCAGAATTAGCTACAGGGTTTTCTGATTCTCTGCATTCACGTCTTGCAATCCGAGCCGTTGAATCCATTCCAATCGGTATCTTTGGTTGTCAGCCGTTGGATAACTGAACTTCTCTTCTCCTCTTCAGTAACCACTTGGTTCAGGTGCTGACAGACAGCCTGTGCCTGCAGAGAGGGCACATCTCGCTCCCCGTCAGGGTGAGCTTCAGGCACGCGCCATGGAAGACGTGGGGCAAGGAGCACCCCGGCCACACGGCGAGGTCGCTCTCCAGCAGCTCGAAGCAGACGGGGCACTCCTGCCCGGCGACCTCCTCCGCGGCGACCTTCCGCCGCTTCGCCGTCCGCTCGCAGTCCACGTCCTCGCCGTCGGCGGCTTCAGCAGCTTCGTCGGCGCACTGCACGTGCACGGGCTCCGGCAGGCGCAAGTCCATGGCGACATGGTACCCGGGCCATGGCTTCGCTATCATGCCCTGCAGCACGGCGCTCACTTGATCCATGCGGCCCCGCGTGTGGTACTCGAGCCGGAGGATGCCGACGTCGGCGATCAGCTTGAGACGCGTGGTCCCGGCGGGATGCCCACGTTCAAGACCAGCCTGGACCAGAGGGCCTGGAGCTCGCTGCTGTGGTGGGCGGGGTATATCAGCGGCGCCAGCGACGACCCGGCCCACCGGAGCGAGCCCGCCGCTTCGCCGGCCGGCGGGACGGCGAAGCTGAGATAGTGCAGCTTCGTTTTCTTGGACACCTCCAGCTCCAGGCCGTCGGGCGCCGGCTCAAACTCGGTGTAGCGGTAGAGCACCAAGATCTCCTTGTCCTTGCCTCCTCCTTGTTCTTTGCTGCTGGCGGCCGGGCGATCAGGCGGCGGCAGCACGACGGCGACGCCCAGGAAGCCGGCCGTGTTCCCCACGGAGGCGAACCGCGGCGCCGGCCCAAGGAATCTCCCTTCGGGCACGTACAGCCTCCGGAGCAGCGGCGGCCCGTCCCTGACGCCACTCGCCCCGGCCGCTACGATTCGATCGATCTTCAGCGGCACGTCGACGTCGTCGTCGCTGTCCTCCTCATGGTAGCTGCCGTCGCTGCCGTCCTCCTCACCGTCCTTGTGAACCTCATAGTAGCTGTCGTCCTCCTCGCCGTCGTCGTCCGACTCCCCCCTCTCCTCCTCTTCCTCCGTGTCGCCCGCCAAATCCGAAGGCCGCGCGAGCGAAAGGACGTGGCCCTGAGCGGCGGCGGAGTCGCCCATCGATCGACCGTGGCCGGGCTTCTCGATCGGTCGACCGAAAGCGGCGCGAGCAGAGCACGCGATCGAACTTCTAGTTGACACAACACAATAAAATATCGAGTGGAAAGGCTGTGGGACTAGGGATGTGAGTCTCACCACTTTAACTAGATGATGTCCGCAAGTTGTTACCGGAATGTTTTGCAATATTTTAAAGAAAACACTACCTTTCAGTCGGCAGATGCAAGCACACCGTCCGCCACTTGCTTAGCCGTCAGATCAATTCTGATCGAGCACTCACGCTGACCACAGGTTAATCCTATAGCCAGTTTTTTTTATAACAAGAGTCTTGTTTTAGTAGATTTCTGCAATACAAAACTAGTTTCAAAAAGAGAAAAAATGATCGATGGTGAAGATTTCTTTTTCAGCAACAGGAGTCTTGTTTTAAAATGTTTCTGCAATAGACTCTCGTTTCACAACGTATTGTTTCACAAAGATTAAAAATGGTTTGATGGTGAAGTTTCTTTTTTTTTTTTGCAAAAAGGGTCTTGTAGAAACATAGTCCGAGTTGCAGAAAGCGTCGAGGAGCGCCTCACGTTAGAGAGTCACTACTGGAATCAGCTACTTTGCCATCTGCCAGTTCTTTGCCGTCCGCTAGCGGACGGCAAAGAAGCTCTTTGCCATCAGCTTCCAAAAAGCGGACGGCAAAGAACTGGCTGATGGCAAAGACCAAGTTTGCCATCAGCCAGATCTTTGCCGTCGGCTAGCGGACGGCAAAGAGGGAGGGGCCCCACTGACG